TATTTTGGAGTTAGGCAAAACAGGCTTATAATATAAAACAAAATTCCATGTTTTTTAAAAAGGCTTTATATCTGGCTAACCTAATCAGTTCAAGACAAATATTAATAAGAAAAACTAACCAAGAAGAATAAAAACCTTTTTCATTGAATTATGCAATGAGTGAAGTCTACACAGTTGCCTTGGAAAGACACTGTTTTAGTGTGTGTTATAGTCAGAAAGTAGGAAAGCACAAGGCTGAATGACTGGACACCATTTTGTTCTTAAAATAATAGGTTCTGAGTCCTGGGTTGAATTCTGAAAACTCCTAGGGCATAAATTAAATATTAAGAAACACCACTGATTGGAGTGCCTGGGTGGCATATTGGGTTAAGCCTCTAACTCTTGGTTTCAGCTCAGGTCGTTATCTCAGGGTCTGAGATGGAGCCCTGAGTGGGCTCCCCGTTCAGGGTGGAGTCCGCTTGAGTTTCTCTCTTCCTCTCCCTCTGCCCCTCCCCTCTGTGCTCTCTGTCTAAAATAAATAAGTAGATCTTAAAAAAAAAAAAAAAACACCACTGGCATTTAATGATCCAATGGATCAGAATACATGCATTGTTAAAGTGGATCATATTTGATATTTACTTAAAAGATGACAGCAAAAGATTTTGCATTGATAGAATTGCTCAATTCAATATATTCACAGCTATCTGATAATCACCCAGATACTTCCAGTGATTATATCAAACAATTGTGATTGCTGTCCTCAGCCAATACTTCCTGTTTGCCTATCCCTATACAAGGGAGGGGAAATTCATTAGAAGGTTCCATAACTTCTAAAAATCTAGTAATCAAGATATAAGATTAAAATAAACAATAGTGCTGGGGCGCCTGGGTGGCTCAGTCGGTTAAGCGTCTGCCTTCAGCTCGGGTCATGATCCCAGGGTCCTGGGATCAAGCCCCGCATCGGGCTCCCTGCTCCGCGGGAAGCCTGCTTTTCCCTCTCCCCCTCCCCCTGCTTGTGTTCCCTCTCTTGCTGTGTCTCTCTCTCAAATAAATAAATAAAATCTTAAAAAAAAAATAATAAAATAAAATAAAATAAACAATAGCGCTATATACTATTCATTCTGCTTGTCTACTTTTTTATTTTTATTTTTTAAACTTATTTATTTTTTGCTGCTTGTCTATTTTGGTTTCTTACTATATGAAATATCAACACTCTGCACTGTGGACTTACACAGAAATTTCACTACATATACGTGTTTCTATATATCCACACGATACATACAGTTTTTCATTATAAAAGTAATGCATGTTCACTAGAAAAAGAAACAGTACAGGGAGAGAGAAGATGGAATGAGTTATTCAATCATCGAGAGATAATTACAGTTAAGATACTGAATATATCCTTCTATGACTATACATTCATTTCTCTATCATCTCTCTCCAGATAGTTTATCTATACTTTATGAAACAAAAATACCATACCTATAGTTTTGAAATCCTTTTAATTTATACAGTATATGCCTTCATGTCAATAAATGCAGATCTGTATCATTGTCTTTAGGGAGCTACTCTTTGATGAACTGCTCGTTCGGTTTTTGGACCACGGGCTCAGTCTCTCAGCTTTGGCTCAGAGGCAGGAAAGGGTAACTGGGCCAGTAAGTCAAGAGGCGGGAGACCCCCGTCCCGCCCCCGCTCCGCATGGCGGCTAGGGTCGGGGAGGCAGAGGCGCCAGGGCGCCGCGGGAGGCCAGCCCTGCAGCCGGCGCACAGCCAATTCCGCAGCAGCGGTGCTTTTCCCCGTACCCCCGCTCTCTTCACCCTTCCCCGCAGTGCCCACGCCCGTTTTGGCTACCGTGGATGGACAGGAAGAGTTTGAAACTGAAGTAACCACACTGGAGAACGCGCTTCCGGGGGCATCCCCAAACCAGTGTGGACAATTTTGTACGGTAGGAATTCTTATTAATTCAGAATCGCGATATGAGGCAAAACATCTTAGTGGAGAAACTGGCATTTTCCTACCGATGGATCTGAGCAAAGAAGTTCTGCTTACCTTGGAAAAGCGCAGGCTACTCTACGTGTCAGCCAGGCGTCGAGAGCGCCTCGTGCACCGCGTCCGCTGACTGTAAAGGCCGGCGCCGTCCCGCAGCCCAGGCTCACAGGGGAAGACGGGACAAGACGCGAATGGCCGTCTGAGCTGGAGGCCCTCCACAGGCGGCCGGACCCAGAACCGCTTCTCCCCGAGGTGATTCCCAGGGCCGCTTAGCGGGAGAACACAGTGGGTCGCCACCGTTTCTGCGCCACAGAAAATACAGCGAAGATAGACGGACAAGTACTTCGTTCCTCACAAACTACGGCGTGGGCTGGGGTGGGTCGGAGCATGCGCACCTGGTGGAACGCGCCAGGAAGTACCTCCCGGGAACCCGCCGCCCCTGGGCCTGTGAGGAGGCTGAGGACGTGGCCAGATCAGTGTCCACGGGGAGGGGTTGCCAGGCTGGAAAACGACCCGTCCGACGTTAGCCTGGGCCCTGCCCCGTTCCCTGAGCTCACGCGCGTCAGGATAGGACTGGAGCGCTGTTACTTCTTGGAGGGAGATTTCATCCCTTCCTGTGCAGAACAGGGTGGGAGGCGGCGGCTCCTTCTCACCCGGCGGCGCAGCACGGGAGTATTTGCCAGGCTCAACGTCAGCGTGCTCAACAGGCACCACCGGGTGTACAGCACAGCGCCCCCCAGGCCCCCCCCCCCCCCGCCCTCAGCTACAGGGACACGGACCTCTTGTGCGTCCACGCCAGGGCCGACCCTGGACAGGTTCGAGAAAGGGTGGAAATCATCACGAAGAAATTCATTTTAGTGGCTGGAATGTGGGGGTGGTGGCGCTGGAGCGAACCAAGGCGCGGCTCATGTCCATGCTCATGCTGAACCTGGAGTGCAGGCCTGTGATCTTCGAGAATGCGGGGAGGCAGGTGCTGGCGACCCGTTCCAGAAAGCTGCCCTGGAGCTGTGCACCCTCATCTGCTATGCGAAGCTAGAAGACATCCTCAGAGTCGCTTCTAGTTGTTCCACGGGAAGCCTACAGTGGCGGCTCCGGGTGGTTTACTGACCGGCTGACTCTCAAGCCCTCCGGCTGCGTTGTGGAGTGAAGACACACGCCTGTGCAGAACATCTGGGTTCTTCTGATAGAGGCCCTCCGAAATCCCACCCAGATCGCGAGCTCTAGACAGAGCCCGTGTTGAGGCACGTTTCTTGGGTGTGAATTTAGTGCCAAATTTCACAAGCGGTGCAAAGTGTAGGACCTTTCTGTTAAACTTGAACAAATTTAATGCCACGGAGCACAGCTCAATTTCCAGCCTTCAGTATTAAATGTGCCGCTCAGTGGAATAAAAGGTTTACCTTCACCACTGCAGCGAGAAATAGGATGAAGTGCAGGAACGTTAAACTCAGCCTGCTGTAGAAAACCAGGTTAGTGTTCCTACCTCTGTCCTGTGTTCCCTGAGATTAGCAGTCGCCAGTGTGTCAGCCAGCGCCAGACTGCCTCCTCACAGGGGCCGGAGGGCTAGTCGGGAGTAAGAAACCCAGCATGGGGCAGGGTTTCTTACAATTGCTGGCTAGGGTAACTGCAAAGCCTGTGAACATTTTAAAAGGTAGGAGACTAAGGAGCTCTAGGTTCTGCATGTCTGGATGTTTCAGGAGAATTAAAGTCAGATGGCTTTGGTAATATAGGATAGCTTTGTGGTTTGCAAACTTGAACAACTACCCCCCACCCCTGCCCAGGGGCCCCAAGTGGGAACCCACATTGACCACCTCCAGTAGTGGTGATGCTGCAGTAATCCCTGGCACCTGGCAGTCAGGGGATTGCACAACATCTGGCTGCAGTTTGGTTGGAGAAGAGAGTCTCCAAGTCCTATTTTTTTCCTTTTTAAGTAGGCTCCATGTCCAGGGTGAAGCCCGACTTGGGGCTTGAACACATGACCCTGAGATCAAGACCTGAGCTGAGATCAAGACTGGGACAATCAACTGACTGAGCCATGCAGGTGCCCCTCCAAGTCCTAGTTTTTGAAACGTGGAGAAACCCAGCCTCTGCAGTACAGATGAGAGAGGGACAGATGTTTTAAGGAAGTCAACTAAACATCTAAATATTTTTAAAAATGTCAAGATCCATGTAAAGTAGATGAGGAGGTATGAAAGAAATTCAGCCCAGAGGTCCTCCACCCATTGAAAGGCAGTATGTGAGCTCCTCTTCCTCCTGTCTCTGCCTCCTTACATTCTTTTTTATACAGACAGCCTACACGTTTCCCTAGGTTTGTCATAAGAAATATTTCTTTCAAAGTAACTGGTTCTTTCCATGGGCCTATGGAAAAGAGGGTGCTGCCACTTTCAGAGTCAGAGTGATTGGGCAGAATGGGAAAGGAGCTTTGTTCAGCTTAGTGGCCAACTTGAGGAAATTTGTCAAGCTACAGTGAGTAGACTGGCAGCAAAATCCACAGAGGAGATTATTTATGCCTTAACACTGTGAGGTTGATGACAGCAATAGTTGATTCAAGGGCCATTTCCCTGGTTTCCTTTCTGGATTACTGGAAGGAGGGCAATTTGGAATTTCAAGACACAGATGCCTTTTTTTTTTCCCCCTGCCTTTTTTAAAACTTAGGGAAAAGATTATCTCAGAAGGAAACCATCTCCTTCTGTCCCCCTTTACCTTAGCCACAGATGTTATATAAACATAAGGCAGGGCGTCTGGGTGGCCAAGCGTCTGCCTTAGGCTCAGGTCATGATCTCAGAGTCCTGGGATCGAGCCCCACGTCTGGCTCCCTGCTCAGTGGGGAGTCCGCTTCTCCCTCTGCTTCCACCTCTGCCTGCAGCTCCCCCTGCTTGTGCTCTCTCTCTCTGTCAAATAAATCAACAAAATCTTAAAAAAAAAAACACAAGGTGATTATTAAATTATTTTTTATCAAATTGTTGAAAATGTTAATATGCATATTATAAAGAAGAAACCACCTTTCTAATGAAATATATCTACTTCTCTTGCAGAAATAGATGACAAGAGGGTGACCAACACCCAAGCCGAAGTAAGTTTCCTTATATTTTGTACAAATAGGTGTTCAAATCAATTAAAAACATAATTAGGTTGGTTTAATGTTTTATAAAATATGTCAAGACAATTGATATAAGAACTAGTTTGCTTTTCCTGACTGAAGAAACAGTAAAATGGGGTCATTAAATCTCTGCCTCTGTGCTACTTTGGTTCTCAACCTATGAAATGCCAACCCCTGAAAAAACTTGTAAAATAAACCATTGCTTTTAGTGATAAGATACAGTATTGATACTTTCAATTTAGTGACTAGTTGTTTATGACCAACTACAGGCTAGGGCCAGCCACTGTTGGAATCCTGGAGCAAGAAGATAGGGAGCAGGCACCTCTTAAAGGGTCTTCTGGAATGTGAAGCCAAGAGCAACCCTGAGGTCAGAGGTTCACATACACATGTAGGAGTTCAGATGGAAAAATAGGAACCAGGGGAGGCTAGGGGAGCTGATAATATAAAATATATTGAATACAAGGAAGCGAGTAAACTTATGCTCAGAAATAAAACAAATATTGACTAGTGTGCAGACATACAAGTCAATTCCCATGGCTGCATTAGTTAGGCATAGAGCAATACAATACCCAGAGGAAAATGTAGAAAGAACAAAATATCAAATAGTATCTCTTAAGACTTTTCTAAAAATTTAATGAGATTGTGTATGTGAAAATGCTTTGACAACTGAACTCTTACATACATATAAAGCAGTTTTTATTGCTTAAGAAGTTTTACTACATGGTACTAAACAAACTTTTCTGTAGGATTAATTTTCCACTTGATCTTTGAATGTGTATATGGAAATAAATATGAGAAATCCCAAAAGTGATTGTTTCTTGAAATCAACCAGATGAGACTGAATACAGTAAAGGAACATCAGAAATATCAATCATCCACACATTGAACATTAATATAGGGTCGCTCTGTCTATACCTGTGCATAATGAACTGGTGGTACTGAAACATTCTATTTTGGAGAAATTTGCTTGTACCATATGTTTGGCTGATATGGATTTGACAACTATTGGTTGAAATTTTTTACTTTTTAATGTATTGTTTTTGCATCAAGTAAATGTCTATCTTGATGATACTTTTGAAGGCAAATAAGCTTTAGTATGTACAAGGGAAGATACCTCAAATTCTGTGTACTGTCAATGAAACAGTTTCTAGTTTTGCCTAGAATAATTCCCAAAAAGAGTCTTGTAACTACTTATACCTAACCTTTTCAAAGCAAAAATGATCAAGGCACAAAAACTCATTGATTAAGACCACTGCCTTTGCCACATTGAAACATAAATCAACACACTATTAAAAAGGAATCTTTGACATATTCTGATTGGGGTATAGACCATATATATGTACTTTACCATAATAAATAATACTATTTACATATTCACATATATATGATTAGTTTGTGGTTTTAACCATGAAATATGTTTCTATGTTCTAATTTTTGTAATTTTTAATGCAAAAATTCTCTCTTCAATAATTCAGTCCTGATCTAGTATATGTAGGTAAGTGTTACACAGCAGTTTTGTTAGGAAAGGACTTATTTATCTGTTGAAAATAGAAGAGAATATTATCTCAACACTAATTCCAAGTAAATGGAGATGTTAGATTGAACATGTCAATTCCAGAAGTTTATAAATTGATATTACGTACCCAAACCCTCATTATCTATCCAGAACCACTCAAAAATCCTTTGAGCAGGTATAGTTAGTTATCCCATGGACATACCTTTTGGAGTATACATTGTTCTGGCAGTTGTGTTTTTTCTCCCAAACAAAAGGGATTGGTGTCTCTTTCTCTCTTTCTTTTAAAAATAAATGAATGCTACTAGGTGAGAAAAAGAGTAATTTCAGGACTGTGATAAAGAGTTGTATGATGAAATTGATTTATATATCTCTTAAAACTGTGCTGTCAGCGAACATGTATATAATTTCTCATTGATTTGAGTTGTATGTCATAACAGGGGGAATCAGAAAGCTCTTTGAAATATGGCACAGTGTTTGTTTCCCTCACAGGGCTTATTTTTACTCAAATAATGCTTTTCCTCTTTTCTCTTTGTCCACAGTCACAAAATGCATCCCCAAAGCAAAGGAAGCAGAGCGTGTACACACCACCGGCCATGAAAGGTACTGTTCAGGTACTGTTTCGGGTTGCTGTGAGTGTTGAGTTCATGGCTGGCAGGCTGTCTCTTTTCATTGACCATATGCTTGATTATAAGCTTGATCTAGTCTTAGCTCTACAACTTGATAATGTGACTTTCAATAAGATATTTTACCCATTTAAAACTTAGTTTCATCAAGAGTAAAATAGGTAGCTGAAAAAGGAATAACTAGAGATGTCTCAGAATTTCAGTCTGGAAATTCTCATTTTCCAAAATAATGACAAAGATTTTTCTTTTACCCTTCCTCACATATTTTCTTTGAAGGGATCTTTCCAGAATCCCTAATTACCCTTGACAGTGATGCCAGACCATTGCCATTTTTTTTCTTAGCTTATGAAAAGTAGAATAACTTGAATTTGGAGCATATTTATTGTAAAGTGTTGCCTCATTGCCTTATGTCAAGAATAGCTCTAAGAAACCCAATGAAACAGTGATTAGCCGTACATGTAACAGCTGTTCAAATAACAACTAAAAATGCTAGCTCAGATCCTGGCATTTTCCCAGATTTCTCCCCCAAAACTGGAACTGCTAAAAGAACATCTAAGTGTGTCAGAATTTTGACTGACACCAGTTCCAGGGAAGGCTTCTTTTATTTCTCACACAAAAACGTTCCTGACATGAGGCAGAGTGTGCTCAGTCCAGTAGCTCCTGTTCCAGTCTGTCACTTGGGCTGTTGGCCCAGTGGCTCATCAAGCTCAGTTTCTACTACAAGAGAGGCCAGCTGAGCAGTTTCCTCTGGAGTCTGGAGAGATGTCTAAATTGGGAGTGAAATTTTCCACTCTGTATTCTCTCTAGATTTGAGGCTTTTTTTTAGGGAGGTGAAATATAAATGGACACATTAATAACTACTTTCAGTAAACTTCCTTCCTGTGCAGCTATAAAATACCCTGTTTGTTTGTTTGTAAGACTGCAGTAAATAACACAGTCATCAGTATTGTACTGTATTTCCAGGGTAATTACTGAGAGTATCAGGCTTCCCTCTCCAAAGATTAATATACTCATTTGAAGATCTATTTCCTATTGTAAGTCATCTTGTACTTTTAAGACGCATCAGTTTTGGCATGAATGGGCAACAGTAAAAGATATATGTTCACAATTTCATAATTTCCTCTGTTCTATTTTAGGATGGCTTAACTAAATAAAGTAATACTGTTCTCATGTCCTCAGAGAATAATATTATTTTTAAAGGAAATTCTTAAAATCAAAGCCCCAAGAGCTTTGGTTATATTTAGCTCTCAAATATCATAAGAATGTGGGATCCTAACATTTAGGGAAGTTAGTCATATTGCATATTTTCACATGTGACCTTACTTTACTACTGTCTATCTCTCCAAGATGGCTGTTCAGTGACAGTCAGTTTGGTCATGAGTTAAAGGCTTGGGAAAGCACAGTAATTCTTTCAAGAGGCTACCAGGATGTTATTACAAGCCACTTAGGTCCTCATTTATAACCAGTAAATACCTGGGTAAATCTCCTGCTTCTGATTAAAAAAAGAGAGAGAGAGAGAGAGAGAAAGCCAAATCCACATATTTTATTCAGTCTACCTGTCCCCAAGAGCTAGAAATGAATATTTCAAGACAAAATTAAGCTATGGTAACATATGGTGCATTGTGGGCACATTAAGAAATCAATCATAAGAAAGATGAATTAGCAAAGGAAATGTTATTGAGATACTAAATACAATAATACAATGGCTCTGAAATGTGTAATTTTCTTCAAAATGCAGTGGAACATCATTATACATTACTGAGTACAAAAAAATTTTTTTGCTAAGAGAGCAAAGCAGCAACAGATGTGATTAATAGTTCTAAAAAAATTACTCTACAGAAAGGCCAAGGAGGACTTCTTGAAAGACCTAGCAAATAACTGGTTAGTGAAACAAAACAAAATACAACAAAACAAACGAAACAAAAACAAACTGGCCAAAATCCTTCCTTCTCCCTTCCTTTGCTCAGTTGTGAGGAATTACCAGGTATAGAAACCAAAGTGGCAAGAGGGGAGAGATGCTACATCCCAACTATTTCTGTTTCAATTAATGCATGGACAGGTTAGTCTATCTCTTAAGTACATTTAGTTTTTCTCTTTCACTAACAGTGGTACTTATGTCTCCACCAGGTTTCAGCAAACAGAGACATGTCCAGGTCTACTTATCCAATGCTTCTGTTTTTCTAGTTTTAATTTTTCTCACTCCCCTCCCCTCTGGTCAAAGAGAAAAATATGATTTGGTAAATGAATTACCATCCAGAATGATGCATCAGTTGGACTGGATTCTTAAGAAAGATCATCTCCGTGACCACTGGAATCATTGGGTGGTTGCCTTTTAGGGCCTGGTACCTGGATCAATTAGTTTATGGCCAAGGTGGCAGCACCATATGATATAAATATGGAAATGTAAATAGAAGAATCTGTATATGGCTGTCTTCCTTCAGAGGCGTTTCATGGTTTGTCCAGCACATTTACTCTTAGAATGTAATAACAGATTTAGTACTTGGTCTGGCTGTCTTTCTATTCATAACATTATAGGCATTCAGCGTGTTCAAGGAGCTTAAATGTTAACTAGGGCAACTATCAAGTGATGACTGAATTTTTTCCACTGCATCTAACCTCAAGGTATTACATTGGCTATGTCTTCTTGCAGATTCCAGTATATTAGGCCTGAGGTGGAGTCAGATAATCAAAAGTTCCAAGTGATTCTGCTGCAGCAAGTCTAAAGATTGACCAGACTCAAATAGCCAATCACCTACCTAACATGTCTCATGGAGATCAAAATAATAATGAGATCAAAATTAATATGTTCAAGACTGACTTTTGAATCTTCTCAACACCAAATCAGTTTGTCTTGTACTGTTTCCCTTCTCAGCAAGTGGAATATCCATCTGCCTAGCTGAATATTGCCGAGTTCTGAGAGCTTCCAGGGATCCTCCCTCTCTTTCACTCTCTTCAATAGTAGAACACTAGCTCTCATGGGTTTCCCCCATTAGTATCTCTTATCTCTCCCATCTTTTCTCTTCTCTTATCTCCAATATCACCACCATATTTCAAATCACAATCATCTCTTTGCCAGGATAGATAGACATACCTTGAAGGTATTCTAAACCACTGCTATAAAGCAAATCAAATGAATTTTTTAGTTCCGCAGTGCATATAAAAGCTATGCTTACGCTATAGTGTAGTCTATTAAGTTTGCAATAGCATTATGTCTAAAAAAAAATGTATATGCCTTCATTTGAAAATACTTTATTGCTAAAAAATACTAACCATCGTCTGAATTTTCAGCAAGCTATAATCTTTTTGCTGGTGGAGGGTCTTGCCTCCATATTGATGGTTGCTGACTGATCAGGGTGGCGGTTGCCAAAGGCTGGGGTGGCTGTGGCAATTACTTTTTTTTTTTTAAGATTTTTATTTATTTATTTTAGAGAGAGGGCACACAAGTGAGTGCAAGCAGGGAGAGAGGCAGAGGAAGAGGGAGAGAGAGAATTTTTAGCAGACTCCCTGCTGAGCATGGAGCCGATCCCAGGGGCTTGATCTTACATTAAGAGGTCATGACCTGAGGTAAGATCAAGAGTCAGATGGTTAACCAACTGAGCTACCCAGGCGCCCTTGTGGCAATTTCTTTAAATAGGACAACAGTGAAGTTTGCCGCATCAATGGACCCTTCCTTTCACAAATGATTTCTCTGTAGCATGTGTTGCTGTTTGAAAGCATTTTACCCACAATAGAACTTCTTTCAAACTTGAAGTCAATCCTTTCAAACCCTGCCACTGTTTTATCAACTAAGTTTATGGAGTATTCTAAATCCTTTGTTGTCATTTCAACAGTCTTCACAGCATCTTCATCAGGAATAGATTTCATCTTAAGAAACTACTTTCTTTGCTCAGCCATAAGAAGAAACTCCTCATTTGTTAAGGTTTTATCATGAGATTCCAGCAATTCAGTCACATCTTCAGGCTCCACTTGTCATTCTAGTCTTTTGCTGTTCCCACCTCATCTGCAGATACTTCCTCCACTGAAGTCTTGAACCCCCTCAAAGTCATCCATGAGGATTGGAATCAACTTTTTCCAAACTCCTATTAATGTTGATATTTTGACCTCCTCCCATGAATCACGAATGTTCTCAGTAGCACCTAGAATAGTGAATCCTTTCCAGAAAGTTTTGATTTGCTTTACTCAGATCTATCAGAGGAATCATTTTCTATGGCAGCTATAGCTTTATGAAATGTATTTCTTAATTAATAAGACTCAAAAGTCAAAATTACTCCTTGACCCATGAGCTACAGAATGGATATTGTGTTAGCAGGCATGAAAACATTAATCTTGTACATCTCCATCAGAAATCTTGTGTGATCAAATGCATTGTCATTGAGCAGTAATCTTTTAAAAGGAATCTTTTTTTTCTGAGCAGTAGTTCTCATAGTGGGCTTTAAAATATTAAGTAAACCATTTTATAAACAGATACGCTGTCATTCATGCTTTGTTTTTCCATTTATGGAGTATAGGCAGAGTAGATTTATCATAATTCTTAAGGGCCCTAGGATTGTCAGAATGGTAAATGAGCACTGGCTTCAATTTAGTCACCAGCTACATAGCCCGTAACAAGAGAGTCAGCCTATCATTTGAAGCTTTGAAGCCAGGCATTGACTCTTCCTCTCTAGCTGTGGAAGTCCTAGATGACATCTTCTTCCAACAGAAGGCTGTTTCATTCACATTGAAGATTTGTTGTTTAGCGTAGCCATATCTCTAGTCATTAATTATCATGGCTAGATCTTCTGGATAACTTGCTACAGCTTCTACATCAGTACTTGCTGCTTCATCTTCCTCTTTTATGTTGTGGAGATGGCTTCTTTCTTTCTTTCTTTTTTTTTTTTTTTTAAAGATTTTATTTATTATTTGACAGAGAGAATGAGAGAGAGAGAGCACATGAAAGGGGGGAGGGTCAGAGGGAGAAGCAGACTCCCCGCCGAGCAGGGAGTCTGATGCAGGACTCGATCCAGGGACTCCGGGATCATGACCTGAGCCGAAGGCAGTCGCTCAACCGACTGAGCCACCCAGGCGCCCCAAGATGGCTTCTTTCTTTAAACCTCATAAACCAGAGGTACCTGGGTGGCTCAGTCGGTTAAGCATCCAACTCT